GCGTTACTCTGTGAGCACAAGACCAGGCAGCAGCTAAGGCTACCTGAGAAGAGGAAGAGAATTGCATGCCCATCTCCAGCTACAAACCCAGAGGACTACAGACTTGGGAGGTTTTCATTCTTTCTGCCTATGAAATTGGGCCTCGACAGCATAAACATCCAAACGCTTAAGAAGAAACTGCAAGCTGAGGTCAGGTGGTGGTGTCGCAAGCCTTTAACCCCAGCTCTCAGGAGGCCGATCTCCTGAGTTCGGGGCCAGCCTGGTTGGTCTCCAGGGAAAGTGTTAGGACAGCCAGGGCTAGAGAGAAATCCTATCTTGAAAAACCAACAACAACAAAAAGAGTTCCACATTAAAAATGAAATTACAAAGCCCTGAGGACCCAATGTTTCAACAACTACCGTACTGTTTAGGATCAGAATGACTGACAGGCTTGCATGCTTATTGAACAGGGAGCACTGCGGTGTCTTCATTTCCATCATCTTAGCAAAGAAACTGGACTCATTAAAAAAAAAAATCTACCATCACATTTTGGGAATCGAGGCATGACCACCATCCCTGGTCTATCATTTTTCACTGTCACATTTTAAATTTTATGTGTAAGGGTGTATGCCTGTGTGGAAGTCACGTGACAACCTCCAAGCGTTGGTTCTCTCCTTCCACCAAGTAGATTCTGGGGATTAATTTGAACAGCCTTGGAGGCAAGGGTGGCCCTATCGGGCTGGCCCTCAGGTCAGAAAAGAGCCAGATTTGACACAACCACTGCTTCTCTGAGATTTGAATAAAATCAGATGTTAGAGCATTTCATTGCTGGCTTTCCTGAAGAGATGGACGGAACTACTACATGCACAGTCAAATCATGCACACGGTACAATACCTGGTATATCCACTGCCATGAAAATCTGTGCTATTTAAGCTCCTGATGACAGTTTGCTGTGTGGAAGATAAAATAATCAGCGAAGACGCCTTGCCACCTCCCTCCCCCTTGCAAAGCCTAACTTCTCAGAACATGTTAGGATCCCCAGTGCGCTCTCCCCGACGGGGAAACGGCAACCACATAGATGTACCTGCACTGGGTTTTGGTGCCCCAACCACCCAAGCACTAAACTCAGCGTTTAACGCGGATAAGAATTAAAGTAATTATGGCCAGTATTCAAACTCCACGCCGCGTCTGAGTCATAAACGCCAGTGTTTAACATGAAACCAAACCAAATCATAGAGAACAAGGAAGGGTAGGTTGAAAAACAGGAGGAGCAATCTTGGCGTGGTAGCGGACATCAACGTTTATTGTCACCAACCGGAGGGCATTCTGATATAGGCATTTCAAAGGAGAGAGGACAAGTTCCAACTCACCGCTACATTTCCACAAGTTTGAAAGGCGGTGAACATAAACATAAAGGCAACTCCTAAAATAACGATGTTGAAAAGCTTTTTAGATTCCGGGGACATTTTGGCTCCGCTTGGTCGGGGATCAGCAGCGACCCAGGGCAGTCAGTCACCTCTCTTCCTCCAGCCGAACCCCCTGACAGTCCTGAGGGAAGAAACGAGATGAGAGCCAGGCAAGCCAGATTGCCGATTTCCAGTCCTCGGGAGGGAATCGCGGGCTTAGAGAACGCTCTCCCCACCCGCACGGTCAGGACACTCCAGGGCCGTGACCGAGTGGAGAGGAGACCCGGGGCCTGCAAGGCTGCAACTCCAAGTTCCAACGAGGGGGATCAGGGGCAAGGACGGGCAGCGCAAGTCGCTGGGGCCCGCCCTCCCGGCCTGACTCACAGAAGATCACGAGACCGGTCAGCTGACCGCAGGGTAGGAGCAGCGCCCGCCGGGAAATGTAGTCCCTGGTGGCGGGGAATACGCCTGCGCACGGCGGCGAGCGCGTGTCTCGGCCCGTGGAGGGGAGTGGGCCCGAGTGCCCCGAGCTAAAGACAGGAATGGCGGGAAGTGGGGGGAATCTGAGGTGGCCGGGGACACAGAGGCAAATGGGAACAGGAGCACCCCTGTGACCGAGGAGGGGCGGAGGGCTGGGCAGAAAGGCGCGTGGAGCTCGGGCATTGGCGTGGGGAGGAAGGCGGGGTCCGCCGTGCAGCGCTTCTTCCTGCCTCGGGGGTGCGTGTGTGTGTTGGGGGAACTCAGTGCTTCCCCCCCTCCCCCTCCCCCCGGGGCCTCGCCGGCGGAAGGAGCCTTTGGCGGGCTTTCTAACTGCCTGCGCGAGCCGCTCCCCCTCCCCGCCGCAGTGACTGCGCGCTTTCTGCCCTCCCGCCGCGCTCTGCGCAGGCGCGCGCGGGCGGGGGCGGAGCGCGCGGTCGTGACGTTACGGAACGGGACGGGACGAGCCAATCAGGAGATTCATTTCCGGGTGGCGCAGGCGCCATTTTGTGAGAGCGGCTATAAAGGCGGCCCGGCGCCGGCCCACCCGTTCAGTTGCTGCTGGGAGCGTGTTGGGTGGGTTTGCTCTGCGTACGCGTCGCAGCTTTCCCACGCGGACTCACTGCCGAGAGAGGCGCGGCCCGCCGCCGCCGCCACGGCCAGAGGAGGCCGCGGATCTTGCTGAGGGCGAGGGCCCGCTCGCCGCTTCGCAGCCATGAGCTACGGCCGCCCGCCTCCCGATGTGGAGGGCATGACCTCCCTCAAGGTGGACAACCTGACTTACCGCACCTCGCCCGACACGCTGAGGCGCGTCTTCGAGAAGTACGGCCGCGTCGGCGACGTGTACATCCCGCGGGACCGCTACACCAAGGAGTCCCGCGGCTTCGCCTTCGTCCGCTTCCACGACAAGCGCGACGCCGAAGACGCCATGGATGCCATGGATGGGGCGGTGCTGGACGGCCGCGAGCTGCGCGTGCAGATGGCGCGCTACGGCCGCCCGCCCGACTCGCACCACAGCCGCCGGGGCCCGCCACCGCGGAGGTATGGCGGCGGCGGCTACGGACGGCGGAGCCGCAGGTGAGCGGGGCGAGGGCCCGGCCGGGGGCGGGACGGGAGGCCGGCGGGCGCACAAAGGTGCGCGGAGCACGTGGAGCGGGCCCCTCCCTCGCGGCCTGGGCGGCGGCGGGCCCGGCCGCACCGTGCGAGACCCCGCCTCGCTGCGAGGGAAATGGCGCCTGGCAGCCAGATAATGGCGGCGGGGCGGGAGGATCGGGCGGGGCTGGGCCGGCGGCCTGCAGCTCGCTCACGCTGTCTCTCCCTCGCGTCCCGCCCGCAGCCCGAGGCGCCGTCGCCGCAGCCGGTCTCGAAGCCGGAGCCGTTCCAGGTCCCGCAGCCGCTCTCGCTACAGCCGCTCCAAGTCTCGGTCCCGCACCCGGTCCCGCTCGCGCTCCACTTCCAAGTCCAGGTCTGCGCGAAGATCCAAGTCCAAGTCGTCCTCGGTCTCCAGATCCCGCTCGCGGTCCAGGTCCAGGTCGAGATCCAGAAGTCCTCCGCCCGTGTCCAAGAGGGAGTCCAAGTCTAGGTCGCGTTCCAAGAGCCCCCCCAAGTCTCCAGAGGAAGAAGGAGCAGTGTCCTCTTAAGAAAACGGTAATGTCTGCAGGAATTCGAGCCGCAGCCTGAGTCCCGTGGGGTTGAAGTAGGTTTTTTGAGCCATGCTAGCGTGAGTGACTCCTGATGTGACAGAGTACTGTCTGAAGTTACTCGGCTTTGGGAGTAATGCTGAAGAGGGGTCTTCAGAGAGGATTGTGTAAAGCTTAAGTAATAATGGCTGTTTCATACTGTTTGAGACCTATTAATGAAAATGACTATTTCTTGCTGTTTTTATCCAACGTCTGCATTTTCCCCCTTTAAAGCTGCGGTCTCCTGTTTGATAAAAGAATATTGGCCAGTATTGCAGATTTTAACTGATTTGGCTGATCCTCCAGGGACCAGTTTCTGTGGGCGTGTATTGGAGCAGGTTTGTCTTTACACGTTAAAGATGCACTATCCTCATAGAGCAAAACAATCAGTTCAACTGTTGTTGTGCTGACTGGGACTTCTTACTCTAATGGATGTGGCAAATGAATTGCGATTAAGAAGCAATGAACTTTTGGAATCCCAAAAGAAAGTTACAGGTATTGCACTGGGTGGGGAAAGGATAGTGTGTCTTTAACTCTCAAATTGTTTGGTCCTATTATTTTTTAAAGGAAAGGGCCCTAAGTAGCTGATAAGAACATCCTCAACTGCCAAACGTTTCATTTTCAAACATTTTAAAGGGTAGACTAATTTCTGATAGCAAGTTTTATTTGGATACAGCCCCACCCCGCCCTCCCGCTTTTTCTTTTTTTTCTTCCTCCCCTTGCCATTTTTTTGCCTTGGTTATCTGACCAAGAATCACATTCAGACTTGTGCTGGTGGTAGCCTTTGGGAGAATTCTCATTTGGGCCTTTAAAAAACTGACAGTGGCCTGGTGGAACCTTGTGTAACCTCCTTGTTTCACCAGAGCCTTAGTAAGTACGTGTCTAAAATGAAACCATGTGCACTGGGCACCTGTGTGTGTGGTAGTAGACGGTAAGCTGAACCTCTCTCTTTTCAAACCTAGATGGATCGGCAAGCAGCTTAACAGAGGACTTTGGGGAAAGGACCAGAAACTCAGTCCGACGTTCAGTGGAAGAGTCCTTGGAACAAGCAACTGGCTATTGAAAAGGTTATTTTGTAACATTTGTCTAACTTTTTACTTTTAATCTGCCTCAGGTGGCAAACATCATTTTATGTGCCATTGTGTTGCTGTTATTCAAATTTCTTGTAATTTAGTGAGGTGAGCGACTTCAGATTTCATTATTGGATTGGATATTTGAGGTAAAATTTCATTTTTGTTTATAGTGCTGACTTTTTTTGTTTGAAATTAAACAGATTGGTAACCTAATTTGTGGCCTCCTGACTTAATAAGGAAACGTTTGCAGCCATTACACACAGCCTAAAGCTGTCAGCAGATTGACTCAGCATTGCCTTCACTCCTTAGAATTAAAACCCATGAAAGTTGGTGTCATTGTTTATATATGTTATTTACCTTCAGGTCTAAATGATAATCTGAACCCAAATTTGTATAAAGACTTTTCAGGTGAAAAGACTTATTTTTTTTTTGAAGGATTGTTTACCAAATACAATTCTAATCTCTTCTCTTATGTATTTTTGTGCACTAGGCGCAGTTGTGTAGCAGTTGAGTAATGCTGGTTAGCTGTTAAGGTGGCGTGTTGCAGTGCAGAGTGCTTGGCTGTTTCCTGTTTTCTCCTGGTTGCTCCTGTGTAAAGATGCCTTGTCGTGCAGAAACAAATGGCTGTCCAGTTTATTAAAATGCCTGACAACTGCACTTCCAGTCACCCGGGCCTTGCATATAAATAATGGAGCATACAGTGAGCACATCTAGCTGATGATAAATACACCCCCTCCCTCAAAAAATGGTAAATCTGATCCTCGTGTATGAACTTAATCAGAAAATATTAAGGAAGCAAATGGTTTGTAACTTTGTAAGTACTTAAAAACATGGTGTATCTTTTGCTTATGAATATTCTGTACTATAACCATTGTTTCTGTAGTTTGATTAAAGTGTTTTCTGGTGTTAGCTTTTTTGAGAATATGTCTTGGTCTTTTTTTCCTCGGTTTAATCTAAAGACCTATGCAATGCATTACTTTGTTAATGGCCTTACAGTGTATGTAAAGGTAAAATGTTGAGGGAATACCATTTCCCTCACTAGGAGAATGCTAGATGAACCTAAACCCAACACTTTCAGTAGCATCTTGAGGTCTTAAAATGGTGTCTCGACCTAGAGTGTGTCCTGGTTAATGATTGAGAGTAATCTAAGTCCTTTTCAAGTGTTTTAATTTGTTAAAAAGTTGTTGCCCGTGAGTGTATCTTGTACATGACATCTCAGGCAGATGGATCATCTTAATGCCAGGTGTACTGAGTCTTGACACTGTCCCCGAACAGCTAGAGGTACAACTCAGAAGCTGTTCTTCCTTAAGGAGACCACCAGCATTTCAACAGTATGCCTTCCTGGGAGGGCAGACTCTGCTAGATCTTCCTTGTCTGCATCAAAAGACTCCAGAGGAACATGGACACATTTCATATCCCACTTGTAGAGCAAGTCTTCAAGTGACCAGTCAGCACTGAAAGGAAATAAATTTTTTAATGATTCATGCTTTTTCTGTTTAATGCATTGATTATCATTAAGAAAATTACCAATTGAAGCTGTCCATACTCACCTCCTGACCTGATAGGTAGACCAAAATTGAGCTTTGGGGTTCCTCTGCATCAGAAAGTACACTGTGGCTAAAATGCTTTCAAAATCTGGGGTGGGGGGAACAGTAGTGAGTTTTATGCGTCATGTGCGTGCTAGGTCTTTTTTTTTCTTCAGATTAAGCTTACCTTCTGGTTCAAAGAACACATCAGATGCAAGGATGATGTCTTGTGGTGGCAAAGACAACAGGTCCTTGGTTATGTGGCCCCATGTCAGCCCTACAACCTGAATGTGTGACAGGTCATTGAGTTGACAGCTTTGTCGGCAGATCTCCAGACAGTGGGGTAGCTCTGAGCTGTCAGATAGTATGACTTCAGCACCACACTTAGCAGCCAGAATCCCTGGAAGACTCACTCCAGCTCCAATCTAAATAATGGAAATAAGATTTGGGACTCAAAATGAGAGTCTGTGCTCCCTGGCTGGCTTTGAACTCTGGCCCGCCTGCTCCCAGGGCTGGGACTAAAGGCTGGTAACACTGCCAATGGCAACAAGCAGCACTCTGAACTTAAAAGGTTGATTTGCTGAAAAGTGGCACATATACCTGCTTAAATCAAAGGACGTTGCTTCTATATTGCAAAAATAATTGCAGTACAGGTTTGTCCTGTCTTGGAAATGGGATCTGGAACAACGGACAGGTGGATTGAATAGCCAGTTGTGCCGCTAACTGCTATTGCCTTTATAGCTAAGTCAGTATCCAGATTTTTTTTTTTTTTTTTTTGGAGAAAGGATTTCTCTATCTCTGCTTTCCAAGTGTTGGGATTAAAGGTGTGTGCCACACTGCCAGAGAATGTACAGTGTTCTGCCTACAAGTCAGGACACCACATCCCTTAGATGGTTATGAGCCACCATGTGGTTGCTGGGAATTGAACCCAGAACCTCTTTAATTGAAGCCAATGCTCTTTAATGGCTGAGCCACCTCTCCAACTCGATACTTGTTTTTAATTGGAAATGTGAAGATTTTACTAATTTGGAATTTCAAAGCCAGCCAAACTACCTGATATAAATAATAAATACTAATAGCTCATGTGGAAACTTACTGGGTCCTGTTACCTCTAAGACAGCTTTGCCTGGCAGAGATCTTCTGTGAAACCACAAATATTGGGCCAGGACTACAGCACAGGGCCAAACATACATCCCATATTGGACATGCAGGACCTATAAAGAAAATTTCCATGTGAATACTTTATACACGGTCAGTCCTGACACACACACACATGATGGTTCTGTTTTCTAGTACACAACCTACAGTTCTGAAACTATTCTAGGCTGGCCTCAATCCTGAGTAACCAAGGGCTTTGTGGACAATAGTGATAGCTCCTCAAGCGTTCTATGTGCATGAGTGTTTTGCATACCACCACTTGCATGCCGCCTAGTGCCTCTAAAACCAGAAGAGGGTGTTGGAGCCCCTGGAACTAGAGTTAAACATGGCTAAGCTTCCATGTGGGTGCTGGGAACTAAAGCTAGGTCCTCTGTAAGAACAGCAAGTACTCTACCTGAGTCATCTGTTCAGCCCCTCCACAAGCATTTAAACTGAGACTTCAGGGACAGTTAAGGGCTAGAGTGTACACTGTACAATGATGGGCAAAGAATAGGTAAATTTGGGTTGGTAATAAATGCTACTACAGCCGGGTGGTGGTAGTGCACGCCTTTAATCCTAGCACAGGCAGGTGGATCTCTGAGTTGTAGGCCAGCCTGGTCTACAGAGCAAGTTCCAAGATAGGCTCCATAGCTACTGAGAAATCCTGGGGGGCTGGAGAGATGGCTCAGCGGTTAAGAGCATTGCCCGCTCTTCCAAAGGTCCTGAATTCAATTCCCAGCAACCACATGGTGGCTCACAACCATCTGTAATGAGGTCTGGTGCCCTCTTCTGGCCTTCAGGCATACACACAGAAAGAATATTGTATACATAATAAATAAATATTTAAAAAAAATCCTGTCTGAAAAACCAATAAGTATTAAATGAATGAATAAATAAATGCTACAATAATAAAGCAAGGTGAAGTAAGGGTGTAACACATGGAGACAGGGGTTGCCCAGAAAAGAGCCTCTGGTCTGACCTAGGCACAGCTCTGAGGGGGAGGTTGGAGGTTTACTGACCTGTGCATCTCCTGGCCACAGAAATTTACAAATTCTAAGTACAAGAAGATGATGTACAAGCCCTATCCTTCATCCCTATTTTTTGGGAGATTTTCAAGTAAAGGATGACTTGGACACTAATGACAAGCCCTTAGGAAGATGTTTCACAAAAGGAGGTATATGTGGAGCTGAAAGACGGAAAGATAGTCTTTGGAAAGAACTAGAATCATTCAGGATGTGGTTCCCAGCTGTAATTCTATCACACAGGAGGAAGAAGGAACATTATTTTAAGTTCAAGGCCAACCTTATCTACATAGCAAATCAAAAGCCATCAGGGCTAGACTTCTAGACTTTGGGAAAAAAATCAAACTCCTAAAGCAATCAAGCAAACTAGAATCTGGGGAACATTTATCAAAAAGGGAAAAGGCCTCTGAATTGAGCCTCCCCCACCACCATCCCCAAACACCCCACCCCAGGCTCAAACTCCAGATCCAGCTATATGATTTTACATGACCTACTTGTCAGGGTTTCTGTCTCAACTGCACATATGATCACCATAGAGTAATGATTTTCAATGCCACACACAAAGCACTGCATATTAGCAACAGAAACCAAAGCTGGCCTGCCTGTCTTCTAGAGACGGGTGCCCTGCTAGGGTGACAGAGAATGACAAAAACTATCAAAGCTGGACAGGAATCGGAGGTCCATTCAGGAACAGTGCATGGATGGTTGTGATGGGACAGTGTTCACTCCAGCACTAGACAGGAAGGCCAAAATATCAAGACCCGATTTCAAAATAACAACAATAATAAATAGGGGTTGGGAAGATAGCTTTGCTTTTCCAGAAAACCAGGGTTCAGTTCCCAGCACCCACATGGTAGCTCACAACTGTCTGCAACTCCAAGGTCAGACACCAATGCACATAAAAAATATGTATATGCACATACATATACATAAATGAAGTTACAGGGTTAAAAAATAGGGGTAGATAAATGATTCAGCAGTTCGGAATGCGATTCTCCTGCTCTTCATTTTCTGAGACATAATGGTATGTAGCCCTGGATGTCCTGGAATTGGCTATGCAGACTACACTGGCCTCAAACTCCCAGTGATCCTCTTGCCTCTGCCTCTTGAATGCTGGGATTAAAGGAGGGATTAAGGGCATGGGCTACTATGTCCAGCAAAAGCTGAATCTTTTTTTAAAAAATGAAGCAGGGTATGGTGGCACATGGCTTTAATCCACTTGAAAGGCATGAGTGGGCAGGTCGCTGGTAGTTCCAGGCCAGCCAGAGGTGCACAGTGAGCTACAAAAAAAAATATCAGCGCTGAAGAGAAGCGTAAAACCCTGACTCAGTCACTAGGAGGCCACAGGAATCAAGTTCTGTCTTGGTTTGCCTCTTATGCTGAACTACTGAGGCCGGACAGACTGGGAAAATCAAGAAGACATGGGAAAGTAAAGATCTCATCTCAGAGTCTGGCTGAAGTCTGTCTCATCGAGTAAGGGTCAAATATCAGTACAACTAACAAAATTCACTGTGAAGTTTCAGAGGAACAATGTTCTTTATAGAGATATTTCAAACCTAAATGTTAAAACAGCAAACAAGAACCAGCAGGGTGTGGTGGCGGCACACACCTTTAATCCTAGCACCTCAGGAATTAGAGGCAGGCAGATCTCTGTGCGTTCAATACCAGCCTGGTCAGTTCCAGGACAGCCACAGCCAGAAAAAATTAAAATAGAGGAACTCCTTGGAGTGAAAATAAATCTGTCTTTTTTGTTTTGTTTTTCGAGACAGGTTTCCGCTATAGCTTTTGGAGCCTGTCCTGGAACTCACTCTGTAGACCAGGCTAGCCCTGAACTCAGAGATCCGCCTGCTTCTGCCTCCCGAGTGCTGGGATTAAAGGTGTGCACTGCCACTGCCCAGCTAAGTCTGTCTTTTAAATATAACCTCACAGCTTCTCCAGCTGTAATCAGCAACTTTCTGAGTTTCACGAACAAGGTTGTAAACGTGTCAACACCCTTGGACCTAGTATAATTAAAGATTCCTTTGACTCTTGTAGCACAAGGGTTTGACATCACTGTAATCCTTCCTGTCCAATGCACCTCATTAATTTCACCCTGGGACTTTTTTTTTTAAAAAAAAAAAGGTTTATTTATTTATGTATGAGTGCTCCATCTGCATCTACACCTTTATGCCAGAGAGGGCATCAAATCCTACAAGGGATGGTTGGGAGCCACCATGTGGTTGCTGGGAACTGAACTCTGGACCTCTGTCTCTCCAACCCCCATCCTGTGATCTTATTTACTAAAAGAAAAATTTCTTAGAAATCCCTTCAATTTAGCTTCAGAAGCTACAAAATGGTGCAAATGGCTGGGCGGTAATCCCAGCACTGCACTCCGGAGGCAAAGGCAGGCAGATCTCTGTGAGTTTGAGGCCAGCCTGGTCTACAAAAGCTAGTTTCAGGAAAGGCTTGATAGCTACAGCGAAACCCTGTCTAGAAAAAAAAAAAAAAAATTGTGCATATGGCTATTAAGACAGTTAAGTGCAGCTTTCTGCACTTGCAAAGCCTGTACCTATGCATTGTGTCCTTTTCCTAAACGTCTATATACCCCCAAACTTAAATCCAGGTTATACTGTTAACAGCCGCCCACTCTGCTTCATACTGATTTGCCTTGAAATGTTTTTCTGTAGTACAGTCAAGCACACCTGCTTCGATAGGTGGTGGTGAAGGCGGCCCCCTAAGCTTTCATCCTGCCTTTAGTCTCAACAGGCAGCCTGCTCTACACAGCCAGGGCGACACATAGAAACTCTGTCTCAACAAACCAAAAACAAAAGAATCTTTACTTCACTTGGGCAGAAGCGTCTGCCAAGAATGCAGGCTGCTCCAGGTGACAGCATAGGGTGGCAGTGCTGGCACTGCTGCCGGGAACGCCTACGCCTACCGGGATAGCTGCTCACATGACAGCCTGAAAGCCTTTGTCAACCCGACTATCAGGGGAAAGTCACTATTCGGAGCTAGGGTAGCTACAAGCTCGGAGGAACAAGTCACGGCAGATGCAGAATTTTATTGGGGTTTGGAGACAGGAACCCCTGGACCCATAACTTACGAGCTCAGAAGCACAACTTTCGCCTAGCATGTATGAGGTCTTGGGTTTGACAGCCAGAACAGAACAAAACAGAGTATGGTGGCGCACACCTGCAATCCTGGGGAGGAGGAACAGGGGTTCAATGTCAAGTCCGCCTGAACTCAAAAATAAAAAGGGTGATGGAGCACTTGCCTAACTGGTAGCGGCTGGATTCAATCAAGAGTACTCAGAGGCGTGGGGTGGTGGGGTTAAGATATAGTAGTAAATGCTTTTCAAAAAAGCTCAAAGCCAGCATCGCAGGCTAAGAAAGCCACTTTCCCGGAAGAAACACTCGGTGCCTCCGTCCTGGCACGGTCCATCAATGTCTCACTGGAGCACGTTTTAATCCCTCACCGAGCTCCATACCAGACCTGCTGCTAAATCCCTCACTCCCTACACCGCCATCAGGGAGCGCTTCCACGTGGGTGCCGCTGCACGCACCTGCGGGACGCGGACCTCCAGCACGGTCCCGTGGGCTCCAGGGCCTGACTCCTCCCGGAACCGAAAGCGCTGAGCCCCGGCCATGAGGCCGCGCTCGCACGGAGGGGAATCGGAGGACCCCAGGTCAGGGGGCGGTGGAGGGCGCTCGGCGCGCGGGAACGCCGGGCCGGTGGGGCCGTGCCACGTGGCCGCGAGACGAGCCGAGCCTGCTGGACGCTCTCCAAGCAAAACCCAGACGGCTGCGGCGGCAGGGAGCCCGACCGGAAGCGGACGGCGGGGAAGCGACGCGCAGCCGGAAGTGGAGCGCAGGCCGCAGCGGGGCGGGGCAGGACGTCAGCAAGGCGACCTTCCCAACATGGCGCCCAATCGGCGCGCGTGAAGGCGGATCTCGCAGGGCGCGGAGGCCAATGGCCATCCCCCGGAGGCGGTGGGGCGGGGAGGACGGCCGCTGCTCGCCCAACCGGGAGCTCCGTCGGAGGCTGGGGAGTGAATTTTCTGGAAGGCGACTTTAAAGCGCCTTGCCCGGAGCGAAGGGCGTTTCGGTGCCGCGCCGGCCGGAGAGGGCGCTTTTTGGTGGCAGGAAGCGAGCCGCGTCGCGGTCGTGGCGGAACCAGACGGTGACCTCCTCAGGATGAACCACAAGAGCAAGAAGCGCATCCGCGAGGCCAAGCGGAGTGCGCGACCCGAGCTCAAGGACTCGCTCGACTGGACCCGGCACAACTACTACGAGAGCTTCCCGCTGAGCCCGGCGGCCGTGCCGGTGAGCGGGGCGCGGGGCGGCCGGTGTGCGGCTCCGGGCGGGGCCTCCCGGGCAGCGGCTGTCCGCTCCCCGAAGGCCGCTCGTCCCCAGACCCTTCCCGCAGCCGGGCTGTCACAGCTCGCTCATTAATGGGAGCTTCGAGCCTGCCCCTCCTCCCTCCCTCTTTCCCTCCCTCGAAGGGGTGGCCCTGGGTGCGACGTGCTCACTCTCACGCACGTGGGCCTCCCTCCCCCTGGAGGAGCCAGAGGCGCGGTCATCGCTAATGCCTGTCGTTGCCGATGTGTGTCGTTGCTAATTGGCCCCGTGGGACACCTTTCCCCGCCACCGGACTTGTTCTGTGTTTTAACGGGACAGGTCTTTTGTTGTTTCCCCCAGGATAACGTGGAGCGGGCTGATGCTGTGCAGCTGTCGGTGGAGGAATTTGTCGAGCGCTACGAGAGGCCTTACAAGCCCGTGGTTCTGCTGAATGCCCAGGAGGGCTGGTCCGCGCAGGAGAAATGGACTCTGGAGCGCCTCAAAAGGAAATACCGGAACCAGAAGTTCAAGTGCGGCGAGGATAACGACGGTTACTCGGTGAAGATGAAGATGAAATACTACATCGAGTACATGGAGAGCACCCGTGACGACAGCCCCCTTTACATCTTTGACAGCAGCTACGGCGAACACCCCAAGAGAAGGAAACTTCTGGAAGACTACAAGGTGCCCAAGTTTTTCACGGATGATCTTTTCCAGTATGCGGGCGAGAAGCGCAGGCCCCCGTACAGGTAAAGTGTGCCAAAGCCCGAGGCAGGGTGGGTAGCAGAGCCCGTTCTAACCTGTGAAAGCAGTGCGTGGCTCCTTTATGGTCTGCTCGGAGGACTAATTCCATTGCTCTGGGGGCCACCCAGACACCTGGCTGCAGTCCTTTAAGTCTCCAGTCATCTAGCGCTTTCCCCCTATGTGCAATTCTGCGCACCAGTGCTGAGGAGACCAGAGGGTGGCAGTTCGTCTGGGGCTGGGTTGGTGGATGACTGTCAGCCACCACCATGCTGCACCGAGTGGGTGCTGAGAGAATTAAATTAAACCTAGGAGTCAGCGCTCCTAGCCTGAGCCATCTTTCCAGTCCAGCCCCAGGGCATTTAAATGTAGAATTCAATTGTGACGACCGTCTTTTTATTTTATTTTTTTTTTTTACTTATGTTTTTGGTTTTTCAAGACAGGGTTTCCCTGTGTATCTCTGACTGTCCTGGAACTCTGTAGACCAGGCAGACCTTGAACGCACAGAGTTCCGCCTGCTTCTGCCTCAGCGCTGGGATCACAGGCATGCGCCGCCACCACCCGGCTGAGACAATTACAATTGCTTAATAAAAAATTTTACTTATATTTTTGCAAGTGTGATTTACTGTAATTTATTGTTTTTGTTTTTTTTGGGGGGTCTCACTGTATATTCCTGCCTATCCTGGAATTTCCTATGTAGACCAGGCTGACCTTAAACTCACAAAGATCCTGCCTGCCTCTGTCTCCCTAGTGCTGGGATTGAATATGTTCAACACCACACCCAGCTCTGTTTTATTATTAATTGAGGGGTACATGTGCCACAGCACGCACGTAGCGTTCACAGGAGCCTGTTCTCTCCTACTGTAATGCGGGTTCCAGAGATTTTTTTGTTTGTTTTCTTTGAGACATAGTTTCACTATGTAGCTCTGGTTGTTCTGGAACTCATTATGTAGACCAGGCTTGCCTCCAACTCAGATCACCTGCCTCTGCCTCTGGAGTGTTGGGATTAAAGACGATAGGCCCAAGCTAGGCAGTAGTGGCACACGCCTTTTAATCCCAGCACTGGGGAGGCAGAGTCAGGCAGATTTCTGAGTTGGAGGCCAGCCTGATCTACGAGAGCAAGTTCCAGAACAGCCAGGGCTATACAGAGAAACCCTGTCTTGGAAAACAAAACAAAAGCCACTAGGCCCAGCTAGGTTTGAGGTTTTGGAGGCGGTCTCGCTCTGTAGCCCTAGCAGGCCTTAAATTGACAGATCCACCTGCTTCTCCAGAGTGTTGGGGTTAAAAGCTTGGGCTACCACAGTCAGCTGATAGATAACCTGTCTTTTTTTTTTTTTTTTTTAAGAGTCTATGCTTACTGGTAATAACCTGTCTTTTTAAAAATGTCCAGCAAAAATTTCTATCAGCGATTTTTCTTTTTCCTGTTAGACATCAGTCTGTATACAATTTATTTAATGCTGCGCGCCAGAATTTGTAGTCTCTGAAGTAAATACAGCATAATGTGTGATGGAGTACCATAGAGACTTTACTTTCATGCCAAGTACTTTTCAGGTTCCCTTCATGTCTTCTCCATGTTTCCATCCTGTAGGTGGTTTGTGATGGGGCCACCACGTTCTGGAACTGGGATTCACATTGACCCTCTGGGAACCAGTGCCTGGAATGCCTTAGTGCAGGGCCACAAGCGTTGGTGCCTGTTCCCAACAAGCACTCCCCGAGAACTCATCAAGGTGACCCGCGAAGAAGGGGGGAACCAACAAGATGAAGCCATTACCTGGTTTAATGTTATTTATCCACGGACACAGCTTCCAACCTGGCCGCCAGAATTCAAACCCCTGGAGATATTACAGAAACCAGGAGAGACTGTCTTTGTACCAGGTACAGATGAGCCAGAAGAAGCTGTTCTTCACAGCTCTGACTGTATTCTGTAATTGCACTGAGTTATTTTGGGATAAAATTATAGAATGAGACAGAAGTCCTTTCCTGTCATATACGCCTGCTGTGATGATAGGGTTAGGATTCTAAGTCAAAGGAAGTGCATCTGTCTCCACATTCCATGGGCCGAGACCCTGTTACCTGCTCTCCCTAAGTTGAGTCCCAGGCTCTGCCTGCATTTTGTGGCTTTTGCTAGAGTGCAGAATTGGCTGGGCTGAGTTGGAAAATCCCAGCCAGCCAGAGCTACATTGCGATAGATGAAGTTTCCAGAAGTGAAAATATTTAGAGGCTACAGGTTCTCCTAAAACTTCTGCCTTTACAGTGTTAGTCGCAGCTTTCGGTGACCAGGAGTCAACACATGTGAGGCAGACAGTCTGCCACCAGCACCCAGCTGTGCCTTCTAACAGGAAAGCAGCCATACACAATAGAGAAAGTGAGGGCATGGCTGTGCGGAGTCAGACACCAGGTCAGGAGCAGCGGGGCTGATCCTTACTGAATTATTTATTTGTTGGATTTCCAGGGGGCTGGTGGCATGTTGTTCTCAATCTTGACACCACCATTGCCATCACCCAGAACTTCGCCAGCAGTACCAACTTCCCTGTTGTGTGGCACAAGACGGTAAGAGGGAGGCCAAAGTTGTCAAGGAAGTGGTACAGGTGAGAAACCTTTCCTTTCTTCTGCTTTGTTCCAGTTCCTTCCCCAGAGATGGAAAGGGGAGCGTTGTCTGCTGCAGTACCATGCTTGGGAGTAGCTGGGCCTTGGAACCTGTGGTAGAGAGGGCCCAAGGTCAGGGCCAGCTGTCAGGGTGTCTGTAGCCTCCAGGTGGCAGGGAGCAGCTCTGCATGTTTGGTCATAGTCACAGTTGGGATTGTTTCTCTTTTGTTTTCACTCTGTCTTCTTCCTTTTTCTTATTCTTTTTTTTTTTTTTTGGTTTGTTATTTTTTAAAAATAAAAACTAGCATTAGCACCAAAAAAAGTCTTTGTTGAGGTTTTCTTTATTTTCCCCCAGAAACATATTCATTTGAACTTACTACCTTCAGTTCTTTTGAGGCAACTGCCCTGGAGACTTAGCTCCTCTGTTTATCCACAGAACAGATACAGCACGGGCAGCGGCAGTGCAAGCCACCCCCAGCCACCCCGTGCCACTGTGTCCCAACCCTGACCTGGAGGGACCAGCTCTCGGGGTAAGAGAGGGATTCTGGCTTGCTCAGTGCTCTGCCTCCCTGCTGAGAGGCCAGCAAGGGTGGTGGCTTCTATTCCCCTGGACTCTGGGGCATGAGGCCCTCTCGCTCTGCCCTGCAGGCCACTCCAAGGCCTCTGCATACGCAGGTCCTTTGTTGCTGGTCACAATGGATGTCAGATTAGGTTGCTGCTGGGGAGGGCTGCTGCTCTTAGCGTCAGCTCAGTCTCTCTTCCAAGTGACGGGGGTGGGCTCTCTTGTGTGATGTCTTATTTCTTATAAACCTAATTATTCTTGCTCTCTCTAGTATAATATAACCAGCCCCACCCCCTTCACTAGCACCGTGCTGTGGGAAGGAAAGACTTTAAAAGAAAGAAAACAGATCAGCTAGAAAAGACTTAGGGAGAAAAGTAGGAAAGGAGCTGTTTCTCTCCAGGGAGTTCTCTAAGGAGCTCCCCCTCTCCCAGGAAACTCGGCCTCCAGAGGTGTGTGTGTGTGGCTGGTGCTCCTTCAGGCATGTAGCACTAGAATGTAGTTTTCCTTCAGCGAATGTGGGCAGCCCACGTGGTCTGTTCTAGCCCAGTTGTGTCTCCGGGAGCCACTCCCGCTGATGCACTAGGGGTTTCCAGGTGCTGCAAGCAATGGAGTCCTCCACTTTGAGTCTGTCGTTTTGAGTGGGTGTTGCCACCAACTATCACAGCCCTGAGAACTACCTCTTGCCCTTCAGGATCTTGAAGCAGGAGCACCCTGAGCTGGCAGTCCTGGCCGATGCTGTTGACCTCCAAGAGTCCACAGGCATTGCTTCTGACAGCTCCAGCGACTCCTCCAGCTCTTCCAGTTCCAGCTCCTCCGACACGGACTCAGAGGTGAGGCCCTTGGCTGCCAGGGGTAGGGGTGGGGG